TCTTCTTCCCCCGATTTCTCTGAAAGTTTAGCAATATTATTTAGTGAACTATCAATCTTTGTAGAAATCGTCAATGCATTTGGGAATGCCACTCAGTATGCTAATAAATGGGCAAAAGCATGGCATCAATGGGCATTGTTCAACACTGCTGTAATGTCTCATTACACTGTAAGAGGTTATCCCATTGTGGCAGCACAGTTTGTGGTTGCGGCAGTAACTGGATATTTTCATTCAATAGCATGTGCAGCAAATGCAAAAGGTGTTGATGATAGTTTGCAGGTAAATGAAATTCCGTCACTTGCATTGATGTAAGCAAATTGCACCTCGTTTGTGTTTCTTATTGTAGTGGGGAGGCAAAAAAAAGAATGATGGCTTTTGGACCTGTTACAGGATATTCTTCGTCTTCTCACGTTGTGGTTCAACCATGGAGCTACAGTGGAAGTCCAAATGGCACTACAGAAAGGATTTTCACTTGTTAACATCAACACTTGGCTGGTGGTTTTACCTCAAATAATTGCCCGGATACACTCTAATAACCATGCTGTGAGGGAACTAATACAATCATTGTTGGTGCGAATTGGACAAAGTCATCCACAGGTTTGCTTTTGACGTCTTTTTCACTTGAATAGTTTTCTTCGACTCAACGAAATTATCATCTTTGGTGAGTTAGCATCAGACTTGGTGAATGGAGATCTTTCGATTATTTTAATAATATTATCTTGTTTCTTTTCCAAAAAAAAAAGAAGCTTTTGTCTCTTTTCTCTCTCTCTCTCTCTCTCTCTCTCTCTCTCTCTCTCTGCGGGTGGGTGTGTGATGTAGCACTTGCTGTCAGAAGGAAGAGATAATTTTTATCTGTAATTAAAAGTCATTATCTTTATCTTTAAATTCTAAGTTTAGATAGTCTTTTATCTTTATCTTTAAATTCTAAGTTTAGATAGTCTCCTTATTTTTAAAATTAGAAAGAGATTAATTAGAGATAGTTTCCTTTTCGATTTCGAATTGTAGTTCTCTTTAAATAGTAGGATAGATTGTTATTTTCATTATTGATATTTTGATAATAAAATATTCAGAGAAGTTTTTTCTCCACTTTGCTTGTTTTTCGGCATTCTTTCGAATCAACGAATTACTCGCCTTCCGTTTTCCAGTATTGTTTCGAATTAACGGAATTACGTGACACCTTTTTACGCTTCCGCTACGTCAATTGGCCTCAGAGACTTGCTACGCTCCTCCGTCATGCCGCCCCGACGTCGCCCACA